AGATGGAGCCCATTGGAAGATATGAACAGTATGGACTGGCTGGAACTTGTGGCAGTCAGACTAGCACTGTGTGCTTTCCAAAACCTATTGAGGAACAAGTATGGGCTAGGGCACACAGTCAATACTATGGCCAAGGCACACAGCAATTGGCAAGGAGGCACCAGATCGATGGTGCTCCTCCATGAGTCCAAAATCCTGTTCATTTGGGCAGGGGGGAAAATAGTAGGTCTAAAAGGGGCAGGGGGGACCTTTACTGTCTTGCAAACCGCCAAACCAACTGGCTGAGAAGGAAGGAGTTAGATTCAGGAGAATGGAGTCTACACAAAGAGATTTTCTAGCAAAATCACACTTTGTTTCAGGAGCCTATCTTGGATCCTTTTTGCAACATCAAACTATAACCAAGTTGCCAGGTTTCTAATCATTTTCTGTGATTCCAGGGCAGAGGGCAAGGGCACACGCACTTGTTGTTGATGCAGTGGTCTGCTATATGCTTTTCCTCTGACCACACCGATCAGCTGAGGCCTGAACAAAGTGTCAAAGGAGACAACAGAAGTGATTTTCATATCTCCTTTCTGGCGCAGAAGGTTTTGGGTCTCAAAGCTAGTGAAGATGTCAGTGTCTCCACTGTGGAGATTGCCAAGTGATGGGTTCTCCTTGTACAAGAATCCACTTGCCACCCAGACCCTATTTGACTCCAGCTGACAGCTTAGAGATTGAACTGGCGGATTTAGTAGGACTGGGCATTCCAAGTAGCTGACATCATGGTGCAGTCCAGAATACCTGCTTCCAGTCGTCTCTATAATCATACACGGCAGACATTCAAAAGTGGGCCAGTGCCAAAAAGCTGAATCCACTGAAACTTACAAAGACATCATTCCCTTTCTACACCAAGGCTTGGAATCAGGTTCTAAGATCGGATACCTGAAGAAACAGGTTACAGCACTGGCCTCTATGTGGGACTGCATAAGGCTGCCTAATTTTTCTTCTCATAGGCACTTTAAGCTTCCCTGAAAGGAACCATACAGTTGGCACCTCCCATTAGGCATACGTTGCTCACTGGGAACCTGTCTAAAGTGTTACAGGCTTTGAGCAATCCTTCATTTGATCCTTTCAAATCATCAGAATCTAAAGTCTCCTTTTTGAAAGACTTTTTTCTTGGAGAGATGACTTGTGCAATAGGATGTCTAAATTAGGGGCTTTATTGGCCGGGACGAAATTGTGTATATTTCACAAGATCTCGGTGGGATCCTTCCTTTGTGCCAAGGTTTTTTCCCTTATCATGTTAACCAAGAGCTGATACTACCATCTCTTTGTACTATACCATGTTACCCCAATGAGAGAGTCTGGCACAAACTCCTTCACAGGATGGCACAGATTAGGCTAAAGGATTTTCTGTCTGTGTCTCACAGCTCAGCCTTTAGGTAAAAAGATCTCAAGCCATGTATCTGAGAGACATATGAAGTGCAAGGCCTAGGACCTCCAAAGGATGTTACAGCCCACTACACCAGATCTGCAGTAACACAGTGACCTCTCCCACCAGTTTTCTAGTGGAAGAAATCGTTAGAGTCACGTCCTGGTCCACCTTTTATACCTGTGTGAGATACTATAGGTAGGACCAGTTAAAATCTGCAGAGGCTTCATCTGGTAGAAAGGTGTGCAGCACAGAGGTAGAACAGAAAAATAAGAATGAGGATCCCACCCAGGTTGTAGCTTGGGCATATAATCAGTTTGGATGACTACAGCAGCGGAAGGAGACCAAACCATTGGAACTTACCTGAAGGTTTCTTCTCTTCAGTGGGGCGAAGTCATCCACATCCCACCCAAAATAAAATAAAACAGAATAAAATCTAGTCGGACGTAAAATCTGTTATGGAGCTGGGCTACACTAAAACTGGAGGGTCAGCCTCACTCTGAGCCAATACAGTCTACACAAATTTGCATAGCCCTGCCTGGAGCGAGAGGAGGTGTGACCTAACCAGTTTGGATGACTTTGCCCCACTGAAGAGAAGAAACCTTCAGGTAAGTTCCAATGTTTCGTTCTGCACCAGTGTAAAATCCTGTCCCTTTGGTCCTAGATTCAGGCCTTTGCCTCCAAATACGGGCTTTTAAAAACACACAGAATTCTACAAAGATTAAAAAAAATAATTTTGTTTAAATTATATTAATTTATTTTTAAGAATATCCCTTTTAATCCTTCATGCATGCTTTTTAACCACAACTGAATTTGCTGGCACTCTTCTTCACACACGTTTGTACGGTAACATGGTTGTTTCAACTGCTCTTCATGGGTCGATTACACCTTGGCGAACCTTGTTAGCAAGCCAACTACACAAAGTTCAATAGAAAAAGTTTACTAACATTTTCTGTTTAATGTAAACAACACAAAAGGAAAAAAACAACAGTATATTTAAGATATACTTTGTAGCACTGGGTAACAGGGCACAGGGATTAGTAATCATGGCTGTACAGGTATATCTGTTGAAAGGTGCAGATCTTAATTTCTCATTCAGTAGAGAGTAACAGTGACTCTGTAACTTTCACGTTGTACTTTGCATTTACTCTTGCCAAGTGAAATAAGGAGTTGGTTCACAATGGAAAGATCTGCTGCATTCAACAGCTCCTGGTGAGCCGCTGTCATTCATTTACGAAGGAATGCCATGATTACGGTGTCCTGTAGAACTCAGTGTTACAATCTTTGCACGGATAATGTTGCAAGCAGGATTTCAGTCCATTAGTATACAAATATACATATGTAAACAGGTGATGTACAACCAGGCTGAAGCTGTGTCTTGAATCACAGCTCCCATATTGCACCGATAAATACTATAATATCAGATTGCTACATTGAAAAGACCAGAGCGGTAGGCAGATTACAATAATCATAAGAAAAACAGAGAAAGGAGAAATGGCCATGCTACTAGACAGGGCACATTTCTTATTATAAAGTTTCCAACAACGGGTTCTATATCAAATACATACAACAGTTGGTGGAAAGATGAAAAAGTGTCTTTATTTACACAAATGTGCATCAGGGCAAAAATAAAAACTGGATCAGTGTTCTGGAAACCAAACAATTCCAGCTTTTCCCATCCATTCACATATATAAACACTATTATTTGTACATTTTATAGTACTGAGTAGCCAGTAGTTACCATTAACTTCCTTGACAAATGGTGGTTGCTCAGTATTTCTGGAGAGCCGCTTGCATGTTCTCCAGTGTTCACTGTTTGGTAATAAATAACCACACATGCGTCTACACATACACCGAAACACACACACTAGCCAGAATGAGGGTGGTTACAACATGCATAGCAAACAAAGACTAGGCTAGCTTTTGAAATAAAAGTGCATGAAAAAAGAAAGATATAAAAGGTAAACTAGTTTCATTCTGGTAGGAGAATTCAACCATTTTTACAAAAATAAAAGGTTGTTGCTATAATTTACAGGATAATAAAAAGAACTCTCATGCCAGGAGAAAGAGCTAAAGCTCTTCCTAGCTTTGTGACACACATCATGACAAACAGATTCCCTTCTTTAAAAGTTATGGGAAATTGCTGGTGTCTTTAAATGACACCACTGGGGCTTACTGACAAACTGAATATATAGTGAGCACAAGCATAGTAAAAGTGAATATCCCCCTCTCTGTTCATATGCATAACCTGTGAAAACAGACTCAGATAAAAGCAAAGTGAACTTTCATGTTACAGTTACTCTGCTTGAACAAGAAAAAAAAATGAAAATTTTGATCTAACATTGTTGGTATAGTGATATAACTGAGCAATGGATCAGAAGGCTATACTAATATAGAGTTTGTTCAAAGAATAATCTCTGTATACTTCTGAACAGTTAAATTCTTTTCGATTTACATCTACCATAAGGACATGGGGCCACGATAAACATTAACTTTTACTTAAGAGTGAAAACAGCACTACTTGAAAAATTAAGACTACTACCCACTTGCGTTGGGCAACTGTATGGGTAACTCTAATCAATTTCTTCCCTACAGTAATCTGGTTATAGATTTCAGCCTAAAATCTACCACAAGCAATGAATATGGAGTTTAAACATTTATCCTGTAGAATGTACCTCAGCAACTTTGACCAGAACTTAAATACTGGCTTGATTTTCAGGTATTTGCTCAAGTACTGTTTTAGTAAAGAGACTTAGATTAACGTCTGTGTACATTAATCACAGATGTATCTGATTAAACAGCTCGTGCTACCTGGATAGTTTTAAAAGGCTGTCTAGGTATAATGTTTTCAGATGGGCCAGCTCCCATATCCTATCTCATTTACCTCTTTCCTAATATCTGTCTGATGTTCAGGAATGGTGTTGATCCCTTCTTTATATTTTATTTTTTCAAGCTGAAACTGTGAGTCAAATTCTGTAGCTTTGGTGAACAAAGGTGCTCCACTGTACTACTGATTCCTACTACAGTGCCTACTATCTTGTTGAGGAGAATCTGTTCGGCCAGGCTGCTCCTTGGCCGTGCTTCTCCTTTAATAAGAATGAGCTTTTCTTGTCTTGTACAGCCTTTAACTCTGCTTGAGTGTGGGTCCCCCATGTGGGCCCATTTGGGTTTATTGCTGCAAGGGAAAGGGCCTATAATTCATTTTAGTCCAAATTGTGCTATTTTCCAACGCTGTCCTTTCATGATTTGATGTACCAATTGCTTGCTCTTCAACAGCCAGTTTCTAGAGCATTAGACCATAGCAGTGGGTGGGGATCATTCAGGGCTTTGTTTTCAGTTTTGTTACAGCACAAGGCAGAGCTCAGGACATCATCCATACAAAAGTCAATTCTATTTAAACTGATCTCAGTAAGATCTTAAGTGGTCAGCAAATATGAAGTAATCATTAAGAAGAATTTTTTCTAAAAACTAAATACCCAGGAATTGGATAGCCAGAATTATTTAAGAATGAAATTCTGCTTTGTTGCTCCCATGGTATTTTGCAAGCTGGTGTACAGAGGCATACGCCGTCTTGACTATGGTTGCCCCTCCTCTTTGCTACAGGGACCACTAAGACTTCAGAACCAGCACACAGACTGAAGAACACATCTGGTCTCCCTCACTTCCTTACCAATAGTGTGACATAACTATCTGAAATGCAAACTATGATCACTCTGGCAGCTCTGTGAACTAAAGCAGGACAGTCAGTCAATCATGACTGTGCCCTTCTGCCTAAAGGAGTAACGTACTCCCATCCAACCTCTTCACACATGGCTTCTATTCTTACGTTTCTCGATCCATGTCAGGGAAGACAGTATACTGGCTTGAAGTTTGCAGCTGATAGTGATGAGTAGTATCACAAATTAACAATCCAAAGCATGCAACAACTTATAACGAATTTGGCTTCATATACAATGTCAGACACTGCTTGGCCTGGATGCTACAACCATTCATATTAGATAAGCAATAAAGTATTTTTAAAACCACAAGACATTGATACTGCCAGTCGTCAAGGCACAAATATTTTTTGACCAATTAATCTTAGAAGAACCTTAAAAAAACCTTGTCAAGTGACCTATATTACTAGCATTTGTGTAAACAGAGATTGGGATAATACAGGCTGGGGTTCCAATACAAAACAGAAGGCAAATTAAATTATGCAGCATTAACAAAGTAGAACAAATAATGATTCAAGGAAAACCAACACTTAAGTATACTTGTGGTCACCTGCTACTCCAACGTAATGATACATCAATAAAAAAGTGAAACAACACAGTGGATAAAGGATTCAGACAACATAAAATGATTAGCAAAAAAAGTTATCATAGCTGTGTGCTTGCAGTCTCCATTTCTTTTCTGCTTTGCTTTAAATACTTTAGAAGGATTTAATCACTTGCTGGTTTTCATTTAAAGGGATAAAATACACATCAGCTATCAGACAAAACTTTTTTAAAATGCCTATGAACTCTGAAGTATATAAAAACACCTGGAGGAACATCAAAATAAGAGTACTCTTTAACTGAAGCCCTGATGTGTCCTCATTGAAAGCATTCTATTCCACCAATACATCTTTTTAATTGTATTGTGGGGTAAAATGTCCATTTTTCATTCCCATGTGGTCATGCCAATGAAGTAAGAAACCAGCAGTATAATTTGAATGTGCACCATACAAATATTCTAAACATATGCCAATACTTTGTGGGGGTTCTTTTGTTTTTTTCTTTCCTTTTCTTGCTTGGGGATAGTTACCAGTCTTTTCTGATTGAAATACAAGAAGACCTCCTAGTTGGACACTTAGAATAGATACTTATGGCGTTGATGAAGCATGGTATTTCACAAATGCGATTGCAGCCAGCTCTTTACAAAACTCTTCTAGCACAATAACACCTTCTAGTAATGTCATGTGGTCAACACTGGAGAGAGAAAAGAAGGAATCAATAAAAGGCTACATATAACCTTCCCTTGGAAATCATTTGAAGTAGGCTAGTAGTTTACTTACATAGGCCCTTCAGGTTCTAAGCCAAGGAGACGCTTCCTGACCAGCAAAAGTTTAGGTGTGAAATCAGGTATGCGCTGGATCCTTACCATGAGATCCCCAACAACCTGCACGCATTATACAAGACAGCAGTGAGTGAAATGGGGAAAAAAGCAAGTCAGTAGTATGGATGGGCATGAACTGGGAAAATGTGGTTCGGTTCATGGTGGTCCCAGTTTGCAAACCACAAACTGTCACAAACTTTTAGCTGCCAAGCAGATCAGTTCAGTTCATGAGGTTTGTGACATGGCAGAACGACTCCTCCAGCATGCTAGAGATACCAAATTCACAGGGGATCTCCATCTGACTCTCCTCTACCTGCCCTCCAAGTTCGGTGAGGATTGGATTTACAGGGTCCAACGTATGGCCCCCTGAAGAAGGTGCCCCCAGGAAAATGCTTTCTGTGGAAATGACGAAGTCATTTTGACAGGTGCAGGTTCAGGAATGTATAGAACGGATTCTGTGCACGCTAGAGACATCAAAGTTGCAGGGGATCTCCCCCGGATGCTCTTCTACATGCCCTCCACATTCTGCCCCCCCCATTGCTCTGATATCCATTCACGGAACCGCCACAAACAGCTTGAAAGTTCATGGAAAGTTTGTGCTGGCTGCCCTGCCACAAACGTGAGTTCATGAACTATGAACCAGTCAAAATTTATCACGAACTTTAGTTCGTGAGCCAATTCATGCCCATCCCTAGTCAGTAAATGAAGGAATACAGATGGCCATCCGATGCTGACAGGTTAAGATCCATCTAAGTATAGTCAAACAACTTGATCTGTTACAATTATCCTATGTAGAAATAATCTCTGCACAATATGTGTATACCACAAGATCTGAAGTACAGTATCCTTCAGCTATCCAACTTCATACTTTTTAGAAGGAAACCAGATGTTTTGCCCTTTCAGAGGGTCCAGTGCACATGCCATTTCCTACATGAAAGTGGCATTTTATAAATAAGGGTTTTTTTAAAAAAAATGAGATTTTTACTGAAGAATCAACAAATTGAGAATGCAGGATATAAATGTTTTAAGTACATTTATTTACTTAGTATTTATTTATTTCATTTCTACTTTGGCTTTCTCCCCAATGGGGATCCAAATTGGCTGACATTATTTTCCTCTCTGCACAACAACCCTGTGAAGTAGATTAGACGGAGAGTGGGTGACTGGCCCAAGGTCATCCAGCAAGCTTCCATGGCAGAGTGGGGACTTAAACTTGGGTTTCCCAGATCTGAATCCAACACTCTTAAGCACTACACACAACACTGTAAATAACACTTCCAAAAATATAAACACTGAAGCTGACTTCATTTACTATACACAACCTCAATAACTTTGCAAACAGAGTTCTAGAACAGAACCCACAGACCAAAGCCCATCTTCTTTGATGAAATATTATCACAATTGGTTTGAACATTACCTACATTACAACACAGCAGTAAAATATGAGGGCAGAGAATAGGGGAATACAACACAGGTTGCTGTTGCAGAGAAAGTAGCTATTTGTTTACAGCAGTAATAAATTTGGCCCTATAAATGTTGCATTTCACTAGTACCTAACTGGTGAATTAGAACTTTTTTAAAAAAATGCGCAAACAGAAAAGTGATAGAAGTGGCTGGCCATGTATTATTTCTTTGCTGATATCCCATATATGTTTTATAAAGCCATCTGATTTAGTAGCACTGGATACGACATGGTCTTGGTTTACTTACCCTGACAATGACTGAAAAAAGAGACCGGCACCCTGAAGCTAGATTTACATAGGGATCCAAGAGATATTCATGGATGTGTGGATGGGGAAACAAAGAGAGCTTGGACAACACAGATGTGACTTGCAAATTGACATCATATGGCTGTGGGGGGAACAAAGCAAAAGAAAATCAGGAATTGACTGCCTTCTTTCCTCCTCTCTCCATGTGTTCCTATCCATCACAATACGCCTGGTTTTCAACAGAACATTAACAGCTTTGGGGGCTTCCCATATTAAAAATTTAATGTAGGTCATAACCATCAGTTGCATAAGCATGTTGCGGCTTTAAACCTCCTGCCTCAATCTCAGTACTCTGCACAGATCGGGGAAAACCGGCAACAAGCAAAGTCAAAATTGCTGCGCTTTCAGTTCCATTTGTTTAGGACAATTATTTATCCGAAGCAATCAATGTGAAAAAAGCTCTCCGATTTCCAGCAGAAATGGGAAGGCAAGCAGGGAATAGAAATATGTGGTTACTGTTTGGACTGCTTGTAGATGGAGGCTATTTATGTGTCAGGCACATTGATTCAGCACACCCAGCACCTGCAAGCCTTACAGGAATTGTGGTGGTTTCTATATTGATCACAGTCATCCAAGTGGCAGGCTGGGATCAGCATGGAGTGACACCCCTAAATCCACCTGGGGAGGGTGGAACAAAGAAAATCTTGACCACAGGACTGAAACAATTTCCCAACTGTGTCACTGCTTTCTTAAGCGGAACCTGAATTTAAAATTCACCCTCACTTGCTGGCACTTACTGCAGGTGTTTCCCCAAAGTAATTCCACAGCCTTTTCTTGACTTTGCTACAGCAACGCGTCATGTAGCAACAGCAGGAGGGATGGGTTGCCAACACTGCAGCCACAAAGGAATACAAAGGAGCCCCCAGGCTGGGTGGGTGCGGATCGATTATCCACGGCCTACCGAGCTGCTGCTTGCAACAATATCAGCAGCACACCAAACTGACACAAAACAACTGGCAAGACGTCACCAATCTCAGCTACTGGGATAAGCAGACAAGGGGACAGTATCTGTGAGCAGTCTGATAGTCAAGGGAAAACCCTTGGGGAGCAGCGATAAGTGCTGATGTTGCAATTACAGACACTGTTTACAGTTGCTGTTGATCTCTCAGCAGGAAGTGCCATGAGAACAAGGGCCAAGGAACCTACAAGTGTAGGCAAAAGGGCATGTGCAGTAAATTAATGCAGGGCTGTGATTAATTGGGAGCCTCTCTCTGGCCTACAAAGCTATCAATAAATGAAATGGAAGATTATATTTTGTTTATTTCAATTTACGGTCTACCCCATGGACTTACTGCATGTAATGTTAGAATAAACACAAGGGTACTGCCCGGGCTCCCCCTTCGTTGGTCCGGATCCATCCTACCTGAACCCATCTTGGAACTGGGAACATCAGAGCACCAGCACTTTGTTGTACGATTGTTATTTTTTTATCTTGTTTTAATTATGGCTTTTGCCTCAATTGTTAGCCGCCCTGAGCCTTAGAGGAGGGTGGGATATAGATTGAATTATAAATCAATAAATAAAATACAGACCACTGAACCCCCCTCCCCAATGCTGCAGGCTTCACCCCACTGGTTGTACTTAGAATCCACCCCTTTATGTATTTAATTGGCAGCACTATAGAAATGGGATTTTAAGTGGAGAATTCTTCTCTACATAAAGGATCAAAAGCAGGATAACAGGACCAAGATGTATAAACATGCCGTACAATGTTAATTCATCTAAACAAAAATTAAAAACCTGTGTCAAAAAACTTGTATCCAATTGTATCAGGTATTTCATCTGACATAATAATTACATTAAGTGATTATAATCTATACTGACTAAACCAAGAGTTTTCTGACTGAATTACATTACCATTTTATGAACAATTTACACTTGACCACCTCCCCAAACTCTGTCTCCAAAGGAAGATTTTTGGAGGGTAGGAAATGGTCTTTGGATTTTCTCATCTTACTGTATATTTAATTCACTGAGCATCAAGTATTGCCCTTGACACAAGAGAGAGAGAACAGCATCATGCTTGACTGATCCAGAAATTTTGTCATTCTGACAGGTGCTATATCAAATTGACATCAGGCCATAATAACCCATAGTGTTTTTTGCAACACTGCTAGATATTTTCTAGCTTGATCATCTTTGATAAGGAATTTCAGCTTTTTTTTCTGATGCAGCCTCATCACCAGGACCAGATTTTCATATGCACAAGATTAGTTTTCTTAAAGTGGCTGAAACTCAGATTTACGTCTCAAATCCAATAGCTCATTTTAGAGGAGGCAGGTTGTGTCTAATCAAGGCTGCTTTAGTGTCAATTGACCTGCCAATTATTTAACAACAAACAAAGGGAATTGGAGGCAGAAAATGGTTTCCGATAGCAAGTCTTAATAACATGGGAATGGCCAGACTAAACTCTGGTGGCAAACTACACATGCGGCGGCAGATCTGCTGCAGACAAAGTTTCAGCAGGCAGGAAATGTGATTAAAAACAAAATCAGCATGTGGAGAGGGGTGGGCTGGATTTCCCTGCCCACCCCTCACATTCTAGCCCCCCAGGTCCTTTTCCTTCCAAGCCAGGATGGAAGCAGGATTGCCAGCAGGCTGGAGGGGAAAAATGCCCTGCTGCTTTAACAGGGCTGGAATGAAATGTTATTTATTTCCATGTCATGGAAGCTTCAGCTACCCATTAAGCCTCTGTAAAAGAGACATTTACATTTTTCCCTCCAGGCTGTTGGCAACCATAGATGGAAGTAAGCCTAGCTGGGAGTAAAGACCTGGAATCCTGTGCCCACACCCCCTTTTGGCACTTCACAGTATACCCCCCATCCTAAATCCAGTTAGGGCACACGCCTATCTGAAGGTCTGGGCCTGCTGCCACCATCACACGTATGCAGGCTAAGGACTAACAATAACATGTTCTCCCTGCTGTGCAGAAAGGATGTCTGTATTTGCTGTGATTGTGACTGCCTGAAAGTCACCCTATCCTACTGCTTCTCAAAACATAATCAAATGTAACACATGAAATCAGCCCTACGGCATGGCTCTGGCAAAATTCCCAGAACCTTCCCTGCTGGCCATGCAGCTCAGGCTCAGCTCAGAGTGTCCCTGCTTTACAGAACCCACTTTCGAATCAGAAACAAGGAAACACAACACCAGAAGAAGCTTTCCAAGTCATATTATCAGCAGAAAAGTTCCTTTATTTTT